TATTGATTTAATTAGCCCTTTCATTTTCTCTTATTAATTAACATAATATCACGAAGGACGATACGAAGCCAATCAAAGTCAAACCAAATTAAGATTCATATATAAATTTAGTTGCATCTTTGAATACAATGAAGATTTCACTTCATTCTCATTGTTTGCATTGAGTTTGACTCTTCAACAAAAATAGTTCACCAAATAAATATATTTACATGCTTCGTTTGTAACGTGTATGAGAATTAATTCTTAATTAATCATGCAAGTGGTGATATATAAATATACAATATGCATTTTCATTTTGCCTCATCCCTATCAAAAACAAAACCAAATACATCCCTATCACTTAAATTTATTATATGTGTGTGTGTGTCAATTTCTTCTTCTTCTTCTTTTAATTTATTGTCAAATTGAAGATTAATTATGAACAAGCCAAGAATTGTAAATATATAAGCACCTAATATCTATCAATAGATTGTACATAAACTATTAATAAAATCATATTATTCATAAGTTATGAAAAGTATGATAATAAATATAATATAGACAAAAATATGTTTAATTTTTTTATCTAGATGTTGAGAGGGGTTTGATTTGATTATTTGAGAAAAAACTAGGATAAAGGTTATGCATTTTATTTAGTTACGTTAGATGAGATCACCCATATGACTTCTTTAATTTGAAATCTTCGATACATTTACGTTGTTTGTGTTTTACGAAATTAAGCAAGGAATAAAATTTAACTAGCTAGGTGATGGGAATATCTCAACTCTACAATATTTTTTATCTACATGTTTATTTTGTATCAAGATTCCTTTAATTTTTATTCTTTTTCTAGTTTATAAATTAAATGAAAAATAACAATAGTGATCACAAATTCAGTCTTCCCCACTTCAAAGAAAATACACACACACACACACACACACACACACACACACAAGAAGGTATCCAGAATGTTTCTTCTATAAAGTCAATGTACCAAAATCATGAGACAAATTAATTAATGGTAAAAGACCTGATTAGTTAATCGCCTGCATAAATAATTTAAACAATATAATTAATTAATGTGGAATCTTCTTTCTGAAACCCTGAAAGTCATATTGCTGGTGTGTAGGAAAAGGGGGATGAAAGTTCCAAAAGTATTAGCACGAGTTTGGTAAACACAATATATTCTCTTCAATGCTATATAAAAATATATATATATAAGTAATAACTAACCAAATCACATAAATTAAAATGTTAATTAAAATTAATTAAAAATAATAAATAGGTTGGAAATATAATCCATTTCTCAATTATACCCCTATTTGCGAAGAGATTGAAAAAGACTCTGTGATGATTAATATCAAGATATGTATTTAATTGGAGTAAAAATGGAGAGAAAAATTTAAATTTTCAAATAAAAAATTTAGAATCAAACCAACGTGAGAGAATGCTGCACATAAAATATATATATATATATATTCAGAGAGAGAGAGAGCTGACATAACATAACATAACATAATATAATACTCCTCCGGTCTTTATTATAAGACCCAATTTGACTTTTTATTTGGTTCTAATTATAAGACCCAATCCATTTTCTCTCTTATATTTATGCATTTTTTTTCAAGATAATCCTTCTAATAATGATAGTTTTAGCCAATATACTTAATTAGCAAGGATATTTTAGGAATAACAACACTTATTTATTATAAATAACCAACTTAACTTACTTCCTTAATCTCCTCAAATAAGTCAATTGGGTCTTATAATTAGGACCGGAGGAGTATATGTGTATTAAAGCATGGAAGACTTGTTCTTTGTAATTATGGCTGGTCTTGACGTAAATCAAAAGTCTAGGTTTGATTTCATAATGTTCTTGAAAAAGTGCAGAAGCAAGACACCGACAAGATATTATATACCAAGGTAAATCTTATATAATTATTTTTACAGTTAGGTATGCTCATGATAATAAATGTTTATTTTTTAACATAATGCCTATTAAGGTCGTCTATGTGGGTTGGTATGAGTCTATCAAGAATTAAAGGGTGATTGGATATACAACCTACCATCACATAATTCGTCAATTTTTTTGGGCAAAAACTATAATCAGTCAATTTGAAGATGCTCCCTTGACAGGGATTGATCAAGTATAAATTATATAAGTGAATCCCATTTTCTGCATAGTTTCATTTTAACGAAGAAAATTTTAAACTTCCTAGGCAGTATCATAAGACCAAAAAAAGATTTTTTGAATGAGATCATTAGAGTTGTACGAAACAATTAAACTAAGGTTTTGATTTTATATAAATTATATTAGTAAATCCCCTAACTAGCTGTTTGATTGGAAGGGAGGGGACATTTTATTATGTTCAATTAAAAAAATGGATAAATAGAATTACAAATTGGGAGAATCCCCACCCAAAAAAAAAATCTGAAATTACTAAGTTTCATTATAATTAGGGAAAAGTAATATGTCAATCCTTTCTTTTGCAGTAGTCTTCTTTGTCTCTTTTTCTTGATATTATTCTCATTAATCTCACAGTTTTTTTTTTTAATTTTCTCTGTCTCTTGCATGTAACGCCTCATTAAAATTAAAAACAAGGTATTTTAAAAAATGCCACGCATATTTTTTACATAATAATAAATAACCGATTTAATCTATTATATTTAGAAGCAATACCAATTAAATTGTGAAAAAAAATTCAGTTAAAAAACGAAAGGAAAGAGGAAACAATAAAATGAGCTTACAAGCTAGTATTTTCTACTACATCTAGTCCTTAATATAAGATTTTACTGACTAATATGAGAAAATTAAAAAAGTTAAAAAATTATTTAATTATGACATATGTTACATGATCTCTCTAAAATACGTATGTATATTATTAGATTATATATCAGTTCATGAGTTGAGCAAATTAGTTTAAAAAATGATAAATATAATATTTTCAAGCAATTTATTTTACTTTCTTAATTCCCTAAATTAGTTATTTGGGTGTTATATTAAACATTAGATATAGTATTTTTAGCCATCTACCAATGTAAAGAAATAATTTACTTCCTTATCAGCAATACAAGATATATATATATATATATTAAACATTAGATATATAATTTACTTCCTTATCAACAATATATTAGTCCTAAATATCAAATTCAGTTTACTCATATTTCCTATATCATATGTTATTTCTTACAACAATATTCCTTGGAGGGCCACCCCTTTTAAGCTCGTCAGCCCTGAAGGGTCGGCTCTGATTCCCGATGGTACTTAATACACTTGAAAAATAAGATTACGATAATGAATATATATTTACTTTATATTTTAATGTTGGCAGTTTCTTTTATACAGAAGAATGATTAAGCCCATTAGTACATGGGAAGTCAAGTATTAAATAGTGGGAATTAAAATCCAAGCAATCTTTTTCCGCCGGCACCCTTAAGTATTGAGGAATTTGACTCCGGATGCTACAGGCTCAAGGCCCTTCTTTGTTAACCCATCTACTGCCTTATTTTGTTCATGAGAAACATATTGGTATTGAAAAGCAAGCATATTCTTAATTTTCGTAAGACTACCGCTATCATAATTCACAAGTGTTTCCGCTTATTCTGCGAATAAGGCTCCATTTTTGTGTGCTAGGCACGTGTTTTTTTTAATTAAAAACAACTCTATTCGACGTTGTCGAATATTAAATGTAAATACTTATCTCTAAGAGTATTTAAACTTGGGTCTATTATATTATGAGAGATTAGCCCTTTTGGCTAATCTCAAGTCCAGGTCTTTGCATCATATTGCAAAATAATTTGCTTTTTTTTTTGTGGTAGAAACCAAGTGATATCCCCTAACTGATAGTTAAAGATTAATCCTCTCGAAACGTAGAGATTACCAAGTTTGCCTCTCCCAACAAAGCTTTTATGATACAAATGGGCCATCACTAATTATATTAGCATTTATGATACAATGGGCCATCAATGGCTTTAGGCCCAAAAAGAACAATCACTGGCCCGGTCATTTTTCTTTCTTTTTTTTTCCTTTCCTGCCCGCTTTGTTGATTTTTTTTTAATTTTTTCTTACGAAAAAAGAGTGGGGAGAGAAAAACTGGAATTCTTGTTCAATAATCAAATCGAGTTTGCTTGTAATTAAAGAGTCATAGCTCTATTTAAAGAGGCTTTAAAATAATAAAATAATAATTTAAATTTAAATTTAAATCAAACTTAAAGCTAGAAGATAATAATCAGATTTAGCTAATCTAAATATCTTATTTTATTGAAAATAAATAAATCTAAGGGAAAATTGTAAAAAAAGACAACCAAAATAGAAAAATTGTAAATTGGGACTCGTTATAACATTAGTATGGGTTTTGATAATAATTTTTATAAATGGATCCTTATGTGCAATTTTTCAATTTCAGCAGTCTTTTTTTTGGTGATTTTTCCTAAATCTAAAGGAATCATAATAAAGATAATGATAGGAAAGTCGACTAAATCCTAATTAATCAAATAGATATTTAAAATATTCTTATTCAAATAATCACAATAAAATAACCCTAAAAATACAGATAAAATCTCAATTATCCATCATTCCATATTTCATCAATTCCCAATTTCTGAAATTTTGTACCTTTTTTTTTTTAATTGATGATGTTAATCAATATTTTTCAATATAATAAAAACATAATGATATATAATAATTACATTATTCTTGTCAGTATTTTAATACGTCAGGGGAACATATAACTATGACTAAAATTAATAATTTTCCAAAAAGTAATCTTTCCCATACATATAAAACAGATTGGAATAAAATAAACAAACAATCAACAATTGGAAATGGGAATGGGGAGAGAATATCTGTCCGATGAAAAGGTTGGGCCTCCTTGGATTAAGCTCATCACAAGCTAAAGCAGAGCCCAATATCTCTTTTGTTTTTGGTAAAAGCCCAACCCAATATCTCTGTTTCTAAAGCCCTAAAGAAAGATAACGCTATATAAGCGCGCCACTTCGGCTTTTAGGGTTTTGTGTGCTTTTTGTATTACGGCCGCTCGCAGCGCAAGCTCTGCACACTTCGAGCTTCAGCCATGGCCGTCGGAAAGAATAAGAGAATTTCCAAGGGAAAGAAGGGAGGAAAGAAGAAGGCGTAAGTGTTCATCTAATTCTTTTCAAGTCTCAATCTTGTATTATCGATGTGTATTCGACTCAAATTTGTGTCGTTGGTTTTTTTTTTCTTTTGTTAATTTGGCTTTCAGAGCTGATCCGTTTGCTAAGAAGGATTGGTATGATATCAAGGCTCCTTCTGTTTTCCATGTTAAGAATGTGGGCAAGACCCTCGTCACTCGTACTCAGGGTACCAAGGTAATTTCGTTCTTGTTTCCTCTGATTTCAGTTTCTACGAAAGTAGGATTCTTGTTCTGAATCTAAACCTCGGAGTAAAGTCTCGTGATTTGTGTTGTAGTAAATATAATCTTCGTATTATCTCTCGCTAGTTTCCCCTTTCTATCAGCATTGCATTGCCATAGCCTTGTTTTACTTTGAGTAATCTGGAAGGAGAAATTAGATTACTGCTGGGATCTTAGAACGTTGGGAAATAGCTCTGGTCTTTTGGGAAAAAAATGCTTTGGCTTTATATTGTGCTGTATGTTTCTCCAAATGGGCATATCTCGTACATAGCTTTGATTTGTTTGGAGAAGCTATTTTGGGAATTTCGTTGGGTTTTTTAAAAGCATTTTATGAAACGTAGTTGAAAGACAATTGACGATGTACGGCGATGTCCTGTGACTTACGGAATCTAGACATTTTTAGTCTATTTTCCATTGTTTTATACTAAACTACAATGGATTATCTGTGGTTCTGTCAGTTGGTTGTTCCATTCTTAATTCTACGTGTAAGTTAGAATGCTAACGTTAAAGATATGTTCTGAAGAGTACATGCAATTTTGCAAAGTTCTGGCTTATGCTTATTGATGGCGGTTGTTGCAAATGATAGATTGCCTCAGAAGGGCTGAAGCACAGAGTGTTTGAGGTCTCATTGGCTGATCTTCAAGGTGCTGAGGACGACGCATACAGGAAGATTAGGTTGAGAGCTGAAGATGTTCAAGGGAAGAATGTTCTCACAAATTTCTGGGTATGATTGCTGGCTGGAACTTGTCTTCCTTTGATGACCTGAATGCTTTTAATGCATCTAAAACTTTCTCTTCCAATATCTAGGGAATGGACTTCACAACTGATAAGTTGAGGTCATTGGTTCGCAAATGGCAAACTCTGATTGAAGCTCATGTGGACGTGAAGACCACTGACAACTACACATTGAGGATGTTCTGCATTGGATTCACCAAGAGGCGTGCCAACCAGGTGAAGAGGACCTGTTATGCCCAATCAAGCCAGATCAGACAGGTATGCCCTAAGATAGTATTTTACGGTAGTTTAGTTATTGGGGAAATCTATATTGAGTTCTTGCCTATGAGGTTGCCAATTTAATAATGCATCTTGTATATTTTCAGATCCGCAGGAAGATGAGGGAGATTATGACTCACCACGCAACTTCCTGTGACTTGAAAGAGTTGGTCCGCAAGTTCATCCCTGAGGTGATTGGAAAGGACGTTGAGAAGGCAACATTAAGCATCTATCCTCTGCAGAACGTGTTCATTCGCAAGGTCAAGATCTTGAAGGCTCCTAAGTTTGACCTCGGAAAACTCATGGAGGTACTTCCCTTGAATCCCATCTTCTCGGATTTCATTTATCTACCTAGATACCATAATCAACATCTTGTTTGTGATGCAAAACATTCCCTGTTTTTTTTTGGGTGTTATTATCATGCCATGCTATTGTGTTTGTGGTGCCTTATAATTTTTGTTTCCATGTAGGTTCACGGTGATTATACAGAAGACCTGGGTGTAAAGGTAGAGAGACCCGCAGACGAGACAATGGCGGAGGCTCCCACCGAAGTCGTTGGGGCTTAATCGGGTTTTTGCTGCCATTTAGGTGTTCTATTTTTGGTTTCCAGTATTTTTTCCCCCCTTTACTGAGATTTAACTTTAAAAGGTTCAGTGTTTTGTAAACCAGCGAACCATTTTTGTTTCGGTGATTATAAGTTTTGCACTGTTAAATCTATGTGCGTTTTGTCAAAGACCCAAAGAAAAATTGCTTTGCATGCTTTCACTACTTGAGATTTTGTCAAATGGTTGGTAATAATTTTACGAAGTCAAATCCGTTATGAGGGGTCGCTTGGGGAGGGTGATATTTGTTTGAAATGATTTGGTACTTGTTTCTTTTATAGCAATCAAATCAGGTTTTAAAAAGTAATCTTAAAGGAGTTTCAAGTTATTGTTTCAGAAAATCGATTTGGATATGTTCATACAAGTTTTACGTGACGTCTTAAGCGCATCTATTTTGTGGTGAAAATGTCAATTCCATTCTATTTCATAGCACTAAACACGGGAAGGATATTTAGCCACCTAAGATGGGTTTCTAATTCTCTTTCCAAAACCTTTATAATGGAGAAACAAGATGTGCGAAGCCAATAATAGGGTAGGGATCCTATATAATCTAAACTTTAACCATGGCAGAGGATACATGATATGATGAGCTGATGTTGCCATCTCAGTTCGGTGATTAATGGCACTTTCTCTATTAAATCAGCTTATACGATTTTTGGGTAGCAAGAATCATTCCCTCCCACAGCTAAGGGGCCAAATTACGAAAATATGAATGCAGCAGAGCTAGACGGGTATGAAGTGAACTGATTAGCTACTTTTTTCAGAGTTTGTGAGGCAAGCTTGTTGAGGACATTTTGAAGTGTATTCTCAAAAAACACATTACACATTAGATGCGTGTGTATGTAGAACCTTGGTCTTCAGATGTATCCGAGCTGCTACACAGTCCGGCTAGGAAACGATTATGGGGTGTTCGGATTATGGCAAAAATGACTTTTATTTTATTTGATTTTTGGAAATTTAAGTTAGGGAAATGATTATCAAAACACCCTTAGCTGAGAGAAAAGGAAGAGTACGGACCCGGGGGGAGAGATAAAGGAGAAGAGGTGGTGGCGAACTTCTAGAGAGAAGAGAAAATGGAGAGATAGGGGATAAAAGAATGAAAGTGATCTGTTATTGTTTGCAGAGGCTAACATGGATCAAGTGGCAACGTTGAAGAGCTGTCTTGATATTTTTTGCAAAATGTCAGGGCAAAAGGTCAATGTCAACAAAACAAAGGTCTATTTCTCTCGCAACGTCAACCACACCCGAGTAAACCAAATGAGCGAGGCTTTGGGTTTCTCGAGCACAACAAATTTAGGCAAATATCTAGGAGTTCCTCTCCATCATGAGAAAGTGACTCCAGGAACCTATAACTTTGTGATTGACAAAGTCCGGGATAGATTGTGTAATTGGAATGCTTCCAGGATCTCTCTTGCTGGGCGGGATACCCTCATCAAATCTGTCATATCAGCCATGCCTAATTATGCTATGCAAACAACAAACATACCGGTTTCTACGTGCGATGTGATTGAGAGGAAGGCTCGAGACTTTCTTTGGGGTTCAACCGATGAGAAGAGGAAGCTGCATCTTATTTCATGGGACACCGTCTGCCATGAAAAAAGACTTGGGGGACTGGGTATGAGACACATCAAGCAACAAAATCGGGCTTTTATGATGAAACTTGGTTGGGGACTTGTCAACGATCGCAATTCGCTGTGGGTGAAAGTCATTAGGGGGAAATATGGCTGCGGCAATGACCTGCTCCCAACAATCAACTTGAAAAAACCAGGCTCAAACACTTGGAATGGGATAAAACAGAACTGGAGCAAGGTTGCTGAAGGTATACAGCAAGTTCAGGATCACCGCGGCATGATACGTGCAAGGTGGAGGTGGGAGAAGAGTGGTAACTTCACGGTTCGATCAGCCTATCACTCACTAACAGACAACATAGTGGCTACTCCAGGTAGATGGGGGGATGTTTGGAAGCTGAAAATCCCAAAAAGATGCAAATCCTTTGCATGGACCATGCTACACGACAGACTTACAACAAATGCCCGAAAACAGAGTATGAGCATTCACCCTACAGGTATCTGCGATAGGTGCAGCTCTGAGGTGGAAGACGGCCTACACGCTTTGAGGGACTGCCACGACATCAAGAAAATGTGGAAATCCATCGTAAAACCTCCCTTCCACAACCACTTCTTCTCAACACACCTCAAGGATTGGTTTGAGTTAAATATGAAACGTAATGTGTGTCAGACCAAAGGGGCCTGGAAAGATCTGTTTATCATTATATGCTGGCTCATTTGGCGCGACAGGAATGATCAGACCCACAACAATTCTCGACAGGAGATATCAAACCTTGTTGCCAGAGCCACGGCTATTTTGGGTAGTATGACAAGTGCACAAGCTAAAGTTATAGGGACCACTCTGAGTAACGCCTCCAAGCCTATCAGTTCTGGCAATCTTACAGCATCTGACTGTGAAGCTCATATCGAAGTGGATGGTGCCTTTTCGCTCATAAACCATGATGCTGCTTGTGCGGGAGTCCTTAAAAAGAGCAATGGGAGTGTCATTGAAGGTTTCCAATTCAAACTCCCTAGGGGTGACGCCCTATCTGCAGAAATATGGGGTTGTCTCTTAGGCCTCAAAAGAGCCTGGGATGGTGGCTTCAGAAGAGTGAGACTGAGTAGCGACTCCCAGGAAGCTTTAGCTCTCTTTCTAGCTGAACCCCCGGACCTTCATGAAGACCTGAACCTGATTTTAGAAGTCAGAGCTATGTTGCAGAGGAACTGGAAGGTCGAACTGCACTACATCCCAAGAGAAGAGAATCAGTTTGCCGACATATTGGCGAGACGTGCGTTGGCAATGAGCATGGGCATGCAAATCCTTAGTCCTGAAACCGCCACGCGTTATGTACAAGAGGATACCGGAGACTAGCCTTGAGTGTTGCTCTCTTGTTTTTTGCTTCGTTTGCTGTTTTGTTTTCCAGTATATCAAAAAAAAAAAAAGAATGAAAGTGAAGAGAGAAAAGGGGCAAATCGAGGTTGGTAAAGATTTTAAAAGAGCATTAAACACCCTAATAAATTAACCTCCCCCACCACACCATTGTTATATTTTCTGGCTTATGCGGTGGTGTTTTTTCTCCAAAAGTCTAGGCGGAGAAAAAGCTTATTCAAGCAAGTCTTCATCGTCAAATAACTTACTAATAGACATTTCGCATTTCCCAAGACATATTCTCAAAATGAGCGAAATCCCAGAATTTGTGGGGGAGCTAGTGATTTTTGAGAGAGAGTGCTTCCACTTATGTTTTTGTATATTTTGATTGGAGACGTTGGAACGCTTAATTTTTTTTTTTTTGAAGCAAGTACAAAATGAAATATATCAAATGAAGCAAGTTTAAAAGTTACTGTAGTAAGCAAACCAAAATTCAAAAAACAATCTTTAGAATTAATACTAGCATAAGAGAAATTACAAAAAAGCGTGAGAATTTCCTGCCAGATAATAGTGAGAGGCTTCTCAGGGCCAGAAGGAATTTGCATGAATCATTTTCCAACGCAGTGAATGCCCAACACAGAGTAGGTCCCAGGGTTTAGCAGAGCAGATTGATGAATCTAAAAGAAAAATGCCCTAAGGTATTTAGAGTGGAAGTTAGGACCTGCCATCATTATATTTTTCCAAAGTAATTTCCTCATAAGCTTCCTATTAAGACAAGTGATACCATGGCAATAATGTTTATGGAGCCTTTTAAACTTTAAACAACAAAATATCCCAATCATTGGATTGTAAAGCCAGATGAGAGGGAGCTAACCGTTGAATTCGCACAGCTTTATCAATGTACTTGAAGCTCTCAAAAGCAAAGCTAGAAAAGAAATTGACATTTCTAATCTCGAATGACTGAAAGAAAGGAGTCCTTTCTACCTTCATACAACACCCTATTTCTCTTCCTCCAAATCATATTAAGCAAGCAAATAATCCCATGAACTAGATTTATATGACCTTTCTTATTCAAGAGAACAACAAAGGTTGACGTTAACCAGCTTATGAAATTCTCAAAAATCTCCACAGAAATTTTAATAGAAAAGCATCCAAACCATAAGGCTTGAGTATAAGGACAGGAGAAGAATAAATGCTCAAGAGTTTCTTCCTTGTCACGGTCCAAAAGACATGTCTCTCCAACACTTAAAATGTTGTTTCCGGAAGACATCAAATGAAGGCAAAGCTTGGTGTAGAAGTTTCCAAAGAAAATCTCAGAACTCGTGATACACTGCATTTATATTGGTCCCCTACATTTATAATTGTCCTTTGAATAGATATGTCTCTAGCCTTTTGTTCAACCCAAACAAAAGGGCTGGTGATGCTGTAGAAGTAATAATGTGATCAACAAAGACAATGCTGCAGTAAGTTAAAAAGCATTCTACTAAAGATTGAAATATCATTTTCAAATCATGTCTCTTGAGAGGCAAACGAATGCACTAATTGGATCGTCACGGTCAATTCAACATTTTAAATGACTTTTCTATTATAGTGTGGAGGATTGATTAAAAAGAATACTTACTATGGTTTTCTATATCATTATACGGTATCATCATATCAATTTATTCTTGTGTATATATGTGTGTGGCCAAATCCAGGATGGCAACCAACGCCAAAATGTGTTTAAAAGTACAACCTCTCACTCCTAAAATCATATCTTAATCCCTAAGCCTCACTTTGGGAAGATGTATCTTTGAGGGGCACATTTTAACTAGTCAAAGTCCTGACAACAAAATAATTCTGATTTCAAATATAAGAGTTAGATAATGAGTTTATTTTGATCCTAAATATAATATCTCTATTGATTACATATGATAAGGGCTTTCCATCAAGGGTAGTTAATATACATAAGATTAAAAAAAGGATTTTTTTAGAAAATTAACACACATTTGTTGCGAATAATTAATTTAAGTAATTTTTTTAGTATTCACATATTAGTAATATGACTTTTATTTGGAGAGAGAGCAATATACCCCTATGTTCCTATTTATAAATCGCTTATAGAGAAAAAATTTGTTCTTAAATATAAGTCATTTGAAAGGTAATTAATGAGCTTTTTTCTATTTTACCCATGTTGACTTGATAAATGCAAAGAGAGAAAGTAAATAGGCGAGAAGAAATGTAAAACATATTTTTAACACTTTCTTTAAT